TTCCAACCCAGGCGTCGTCGAAGTGTGTGATCCTGACCTGGCCGAGGGCGGTTGAGATGTGCAACCTGGTTCTAACAGCCCGATGCTTTTCGTGAGCTTGTCTATCGCGTTCTTCAATATGTTGACCACGTTCTGGAGGTCACGCTGTGATACTCCGTGTGTCTTGATGGCCGTGACGTCCTTCCAGATCGGATCCAGCTGCTCATTCAAAATCTGTCGGAAAGTATCTGGAGTAATACTCTGGTCATCTGCAGTGGAGGAGCCCGAAACAAAGAGCAAAGCCAGAAGTACTTGGAAAGGTGCCACTGGTTCTGACAATGAGTTGTTGGGGCTGTCGTCGCCGTTCATGTTGTGAAGCGGGCTGTGGAGCTGATGTTGCTTGAATAATTTCCTGACCAGGGTGCGTGGCACGCACGAGTTGCCGCCTGTGCCCGAGGACATAGATGTGGTCTCGAGGGTATGCGAGGCGCAAGAGCAATAGGATGTGTGTGGAGAGTTTGGTAAGGAGAGTGTGGTAAGGAGAGGTCGATAAGGAGAGTTTGGTAAGGAGCACGCACGGGGCACACAAGTGTCACGAAACCTATCCCTGAGCCAAGTGAGGGCTGTTCTGAAATGCGCGCGAGCCCACGTGCGCCTGCGCCCACTGAGACTGTAGGGGGGAGCTCCCTATGGGGCCAAGATCTGCGTAAGGGGTGTCCCGAAATGGGCGCGAGCCCGCATGTTTCTGCGCCCGCTGAGACTGTAGGGGGAGCTCCGTAGGAGGCCACAATCTGCGCGAGGGTTGTCCCGAAAGGGGCGCGGGCCCACATGCGTCTGCGCCCACTGAGACCGTAAGGTGAGCTCCCTATTGGGCCACGATCTCGTGAGGGGTGTTCCGAAGTGGGCGCGGGCCCGCATGCGTCTGCGCCCACTGAGGCCGTAGGTGGAACTCTCTATAGGGCCACGATCTGCGTGAGGTGTGTGCCGAAATGGGCGCGGGCCCGCATGCGTCTGCGCACACTTAGGCCGTAGGTGGAGCTCTCTGTGGGGCCACAATCTGCGTGAGGGGTGTACCGAAATGGGTGCGGGCACACGTGCGTGTGATCCTACTGACCCCGTAGGTGGAGCTCACTTTAGGGCCACGGTCCACGTGAGCGGTGTGCCGAAGTGGGCGCGGGCACACGTGCGAACGCGCACACTCACGCTGCAGGTGGACGTCCCTGTGGGCCACGACGCCTCAGGTGCACGTCCCGATGGGCCACGATCCGAGTGAGGGGTGCGCCGAAATGGGCGAGGGTAGACAGAGGATGAGGAGGGACAGGAGAAGGAGAGGAATGAAAAGAGACGCGCAGGGCTGCGGAGAGACAGAGAGGACCCAACGTACCAGGAAGGTTGAGGGGCGGACGTTGGACGTCTCCAGGGGATCCTCGGAGGTCTCGGGAGAGTCCCCGAAGGCCTCTGGAGGCTGAAAGGCCCATAAAGACACAAAACACACAAGCCAATCCGAAGGCGTGGAACCAACTCTTCCTGCTCATCCTCGTGCTCTTTCTTCTCCCCATCTTCGGCGTTCCCCTCCACAGTATCATCATCATCAGCATCATCATCATCACCACCACCATCACCACCACCACCATCATCAGCATCATCATCATCATCATCACGATCAGAAGCATCATCGTCATCGTCATCATCATCGGCGTTATCATCATCATAATCATCAGCAGCATCATCATCATCACATCAGCATCATCATCATCATCATCATCATCATCATCATCATCATCATCATCATCATCATCATCATCATCGTCAGCATCATCATCATCGTCATCATTATCATCATCACCATCATCAGCATCAAACTCATCATCATCGCCATCATCATCATCATAAGCAGCCTCATATCCATCAGCATCAACATCATCATCATCATCATCAGCATCCCCATCATCAGCATCATCAGTATCGGCAGCAGCAGCAACAGCAGCATCAGCACCACCATCATCATCATCATCACCATCATCATCATCAGCATCATCAGCATCATCACCAGCACCATCATCATCGTCAGCATCATAATCATCAGCATCGGCGTCGTCATCGTCATCATCATCATCGTCAGCATCATCATCGTCGTCATCAACATCATCATCGTCATCATCACCATAATCATCAATAGCATAACCATCATCATCAACATCATCATCAGCAGCATCATCATCAACATCATCAGTTTCGTCATCAGCATCAGCATCACCATCATCATCATGATTACCAGCAGCAGCAGCAACAGCAGCATCAGCACCATCATCATCAGATTAATCTGCATCATCATTATCATCATCATCGGCATCAGCATCATCATCGTCATCGTCATCATAATTGCAATCGTCATCATCATTATCATCATGGTCGTCATCAGTATCACCATCAGCAGCAGCAGCATCATCATATTCATCATCTTCGTCTTCATCTTCATCAGAATCATCATCATCAAAATATCAGCAGCAACATCAGCATCAGTATCAGAATCAGCATCATCAGTATCATCATCATCCTCATCATCATCATTTTCATCATCATCCTCATCATCATCATCATACTCTTCATCGTCGTCGTCTTCGTCGTCCTCGTCACAAGGGCCCCCTGGACGAACGTGGTCAGGGGCGTCCCGTTCTAGGATGCCGAGTTTTGTGAGGTCACCTGCATGTCAGCCGCTGCGCGCGTGCAGCAGGCAGCCGAGTGGGCTTCCAGCACTTGCAACTGGAGCAGTCTATCTGCGCCGAGGATTTCGCCGCACCTTCTTCTTGCTGGAGGTTGGCCTCAATTTCGGCCGTTTGGTGGTGCAGCGCAGTGTCGTGCGCATGGACACGGAATTCGGGTACGTCTTCGCGAGATGCGGCTGCATCATCAGGGCCGCCTGGGTCTTCATCATGGGCCTGGTGTCGAGCGCGAGCACCAGTCTGGCCCTTTAGTACTTGGTCTCAGTGTTCATGGGCCTCTCCGAGCTCGTCCTGCACTTCATCGCGCTGCTGCGGCATGGGGTCGCGTTACTGCTTCACGGAGGCAGGGGCGACGTGTCGGGCATGGGCGAGAGCATGTCCTCTGGGGCCCTCGGCCTGGCGGCCGCCAGCGCTTCCGAGCTCGTCGCGGTGGTCCGCACGCCGCTGCAGCACATCGTCTACCTGGTCATCCTGCCCTTTTTCCTTGTTGTGGGCATGTAGCTGGCTGCTGGCTCGGCTGTCACGCTCCACGCTCTTCGGCCTCATCGGGTGCATTGTACTGAGCTTGATGCCTTGATGCCGCTCCGCGTCGTCCGGGGCAGCGTGTCGGGCGTGTGCTGCGTGGCTGCGCTCGTCCAAGACTTTGGCAGGAAATCGTCGAGGCCTTCACGCTGCCTGGACATGCTGCCGCCTCCGCGTTTCACATGGTCAGGAACGTCATGTCGGGCGCGGAATAGGCGGCGATCGAGTGATTCTGCCTGGTGCACGGGGTCATCTCCACGCGCGCTGCGATGGCCATCACGCTGCACAAGAAAGTGCCGTAATGCAGAGGGCAGACGCGAGAAACTGCGATGTGCAGCGGCTGCTTGATCCGTCTCCCTCCTCCTCCGGACCGGAGAGCTGCACTGGCAAACGCAGAGAGAGGAGCGTCCCCCTGCTCCTCAGGAGCCGAAGATGCGGGCCCACCTGCTGGCAGGGATGGGGGAGGCGCGCTCTGGAGTCTGAGGCCGAGCCTCAGCACAGTTTCTGACTCATGCCAACTCGGCAGGTGGGCTTGCGTCGGGCGTGGACTGCAATGTATATCAAACTGGGTCGCCGCGCCGAAGGCCTGCGACCAAAACAACGACTGTATGATGATTGGGTCCCCCGTCGCCATTTTGGCGCAAGACCTGCATTTGTCTCGCACTCTGGTTGCCGAGCCATGCTGCGTCGTCGCGCGGCGGCCTTGGTAACCCTGTGCCAGGTGGTGTGTTGAAGACTGGGCTGACACAGGTTGCCCAGCTATGCAGCGCGCTGTAGCCAGAGTCCTGATAATCATCACAACCTCTACCATCGCCACCATCACCATCAGGATCCTCATCCTCATCATCACCATCATCATCATCATCATCATCATCATCATCATCATCATCATCAGCATCAGCATCAGCATCAGCAGCAGCAGCAGCAGCATCAGCATCAGCATCAGCATCACCACCACCACCACCACCACCACCACCATCATCATCATCATCATCATCGTCGTCGTCGTCGTCGTCGTCATCATCATCAGCATCAGCATCACCATCACCATCACCGTCTTCGTCAGCAGCAGCAGCATCGTTATCATCATCGTCAGAAGCAGCAGCATCAACAGCAGCAGCAGCGTCACCATCATCAACATCATCAACAGCATCACCATCATAATCATCATCATCATCAGCATCAGCATCATCATCAAGAGTATCATCATCAGCAGCATCATCATCGTCATCGTCATCGACATCACCGTCATCATCACCATCATCATCATCACCATCATCAACATCATCACCATCATCATCGGCATCCTCATCATCATCGTCATCGTCATCGTCATCACCGTCATCATCACCATCATCATCATCATCATCATCATCAGCATCAGCATCACAATCATCATCACCATCATCATCACATCGTCGTTGTCGTCATCATCGTCCTCATCACCGTCGTCATCCTACTCATCCTCAACAAAACCATCATCATCGTCATCATCATTATCGTCATCGTGATCGCCGTTGTCATCATCACAACCACTACTGCCATCCGCATGATCATCAATATCATCAGCAGCAGCAGCATCATCGTCATCATCGTCTTCATCATACTCATCGTCGTCATCGTCGTTCTCCTCGTAATCGTCCTCCTCCTCCTTTCTGATCCGCCTCCTCCTCCTCCTCATCCTCCTCCTCCCCCTTCTCACCCTCATCCTCCTCCACCTCCTCGTCGTCCTCCTCCTTCCCATCCTCTTCTCCCGCAGCTAGTGTCCCCCAAGACCTGTGCGCCAGCTCGTGCGCGCCTCGTCTCCTGGCCTGCTGACCGGCCCTCATCATGTCCCTGTAGATGTCCAGTGGGACGTCGGTGAGGCCGTCGATCGACTCGACCTTGCCGCCCTCGCTCGAGAACCGCTTGGCCTTCGCGTCCGCACGACCCGCGGCTGGCGGCTCCTCCTGGGACCTCGTCGTGCTGCAACGCGGGAACCACCAGGGGGCTGTCAACCCGAAGATGCGTGTGCACGCCATCCTCCTCTTCGGGGAACGCCAACCACACGCCTACACCGATCCTGGCCAGGCTCATCCTGGGCCCAAGATCGGTGCATACACCCTCCCAGCTGGGGCAGGAGGGCATCTGCACCGATCCTGAGCCAAGGATCGGCCTTGCCAGGATTGGTGTGGATGTATACCTGGCGTCCTCCGACCTGTATGTACACGGCACACGGCGGCCTGAAAAAACAAGCGTGAGCCAAAATGGCTGCAGACAAGCAGGCGAATCGCAAAGCCCAGTACAGATGGTCCCCATCCATTCGACGAGCAAGCTCGCCGCAGGGGAGTCTGCTTGAAGCACGCCTGTTGAAGTTGTCCAGCTGGCACTGGGGTGACCCCGAAAATCGTTCGACTCCCGCTGGGGTCCACGAGGAAACCAAAATTCTGGAGATCGCCCTTCACTCCGCCCGACTGCAGCATGACTCGTTCCAATAAATCACGTACATGTACCTTGACAACTTCGTTTGTAACTATCGTCCGCCCCAGAGATAATTCACATGCATCCAACATGAAACCAAGAACTGCCTAATTGCGCCCGCATGCGCAAGTCTCAAAAATCGTGCGCAACTATCGTGTTGCTGCGATTTGCTGATATGTGTCATAGTGTTCGACATCCGTGTAGTGTTCGCATCAGCTGCTGGATTAGATTCAGGATGCGTTTTGTGCGCGATATCATCGTAATCGCAAGACCCTATGTTCGCATTATCCTACACGCGCGCACTTGCATATATTCTCTCTGCATTTGAATTCGTATTCATATTCGTTTCTGCTTTCGCACTTGCATCCGGGTTGCTGGTCGGAATATTCCCCACATCAGTGTCGCTAATATGTGTATGGGGTGTGGATTTGCCGTACGTGCTCCCATTCGCCTTGTGTGGTCGCACGTGCAACAATTCTCAAGATCAGCACTCGTGAACGAAATTGAACTCGTATTGGTATGTGGATTTTGTGATACACATGGTGGCATGCGTATTTATGCGTAGTACCCTTCCCATTCATTGGTTTTGAGGCTGTCGGTGCTGTTGTCGATTGACTCCCGTGCGCATTCAAATTCTCATCCGCATGCGCATGCGCTAGATTCGCAATCGCGCTCGCGCTCTCGTACCCAACCTTACCTTTTCTTGATGTACGTTTGCCGTATCTGCAACGGACCGCATGATCCATGTCTTCAACATGTGCTCGATGAACTACAGTTGACTCGTTGGCTTTGGTTGCTGATTACGGATCGGCAGAGGCGATCCGCAGCATATCTTGGCCAGGCCTGCCGACAATGACTTCGCAGCTAACTGTCCAAGCCCGCGTCCGCCTTCGCATGAATATTCGTATTCGCATTCATGTTCGTAGTCCCGGTCATGATTGCTCAGATGATTGTCTTCGTAAGTACATTCGTTTCCCAACTTCGCCCATGGCTTTCGACCTGTGCTCGTTACATGTGTTCGACGACGTTCATGCGATCGTGTCGCATCCGCGCTCGCTCGTGCCTAAGCCTACGTTTTCGCAGCCTCCGCACTCGTGCCCGCGCTCCCTGCCTCGTCGTCGCCGTCATCACTGCACCACCACCGCGACAGCTGCTATCGTGGAAGGTTGGATGAGACCGGCGGCTCTTCCGCCGGGCCCCAATACGCTGAGAACCTGTCCCCGAACCCCTTCCAAAGTCCATCCTGGCCCGTTGACCGAAGGGGATCCAACCGTGGCGACGAGAAGCCTCCAACGGGAAGGCCGCCGCTGTCTCGACCGGCCTTCCCCCGACGCCAAGACTGCCAGCACGACGGCACGCGCCCCGCCGCCCTCCGACAGGGGAGACGCGAAAGGGCACCACGAGCGACCCGCCTCCGGCGCAGGCGGGACGCCTCGACGGGACACGTCGCGGAGGCCGCACGGTCGCGGGGCGAGTCCCGGCGCCCTCCTTGGCAGCCCGTGCCGAGCAGCGCGCGGGGCGCCGCGCAGGGGCACGATTGGTCTGTCGGCAGCGGCGTGCGGGCACGAGGCGCTGCGCAGCAACAGCAGGGCTAGCGCAGAGCTGGATGTGCACGTGCACGCATGGCACGCACACGGAGACGGCGAGGGGCGGCCGCGGAGAGAAAGGAAGGGGAGAGGCGCGCTCGGAGCATTCGGCTGCTGCTTTCTTGTCGCAGACTCGGCGGTCGCGCGAGTCGGTCGGGCCTGGCCTGGCCTGGCTGCTGCAGAGCTGGATTGCGCACACCAGGGGCGAGGAGGAGACGAGCGGCGGCCGCGGAGGAAGTCAAAAGGAAGGCCGCCCCCTCAGACCATATAGGTCTTGTAGTGACGTGCTGCGGCCCAGGCTGCAGGGGGGATCAAGAACGAATATTCTTCAGATATGAAAAATCAACCACAAGAACAATAATCACCTTAAGACTGTTCCCTCTTATGTGCTCGCGTGCCATACAACACGTATATCCCAAGCCCTCGATACCCGCCCGCTTCATCTTCGATCGTACCCCCCTGGGGGCGTATTTTCCTCACCTACCGCGCGTATTTGGTGCAGCCCCTGAAACAAGGAAGAGAGGACGGATGCAAGGGGGAGGGAGAATGAAAGAGCACGGGGTTAGCAGGAGGGGGGCTAGGAGCAGAAAACACGTGGAAGAACCAGACGGGCCCATCGGGCGGGCAGACCCTGAAGGGCGGGTCTGGAAGGCGGGCCCAGGCGGCCAGGTTGAGAAGGCGGGTTGCTGAAGCGCGCGTCCTGCATGAATCGCGAGGAAGTCTCGAATGATAGCGCGACTCCCAAGTAAATCGTCAGGACAGCCACAGCGAGAGCGTGATTCCTGAGGGTCGAGAGCGCGGCGCCTGGAGAAATTGCAATAAAGTCCCACGCGAGAGCGCGATTCCTGCATAACTTGCGAGGAAGTCCCGCGCGACAGCGCGATTTGGGAATAAATCGTGAGAAAAAAAACAAAACAAAAAAAAAGCGGGAGCCGTTGTTATTGCAAGCCAGGGGCCAACAACACAGTTTGGTGTCACCTCACCTTCCCTTGTAAAAAACAAGGTGCGATCCCCGGGAGAAGCACGTTCATTAAAAAGATACCATGGCTACCAGGCAGGGAGGATCAACAGCAGTTGTCATTTAGAAATGAATTCAACAACAATCATGTTAAGACTACTCACTCTTACCTGTTCGCGTGCCATTCGGCCATTCGGCACGTATATCCCAAACCCTCGGTATCCGCCCGTTTCGTCTTCGATCGTACCCCCCTGGGGGGGCATATCTTCCTCACCTGCCACGCGTATTTGGTGCAGCCCCTAAAACAGGGGACGAGAGGACGGATGGAAGGGGGAGGGTGAAGGAAGGAGCACGGGATTAGCAGGAGGGGGGCTAGGAGCAGAAAACACGTGGCAGAACCGACGGGCCCATCAGGCGAGTAGACCCTAACGGGCGGGTCAGGAAGGCGGGCCCGAGCGGCCAGGTCGAGAAGGCGGGCTGCTGAAGCGAGAGTACTGCATGAATCGCCAGGAGAGCTCGAGCGATAGCGCGATTCCAAAGTAAATCGCGAGAAAGGCCAAAGCGAGAGCGTGATTCCTGAGGGTCGAGGGCGCGGCGTCTGGAGAAATTGCGATGAAGTCCCACGCGAGAGCGCGATTCCTGCATAACTTGCGAGGAAGTCCCGCGCGACAGCGCGATTTGGGAATAAATGCTGAGGAAGTATCAGGCGGGAGCCGCTGTTGTTCTAAACCAGGGGCCAAGGGCGCAGTTTGGTGACACCGAGCTATTCGTGATTAAAAAACACGGTGCGAGCCCCGACGGGGGCACTTCAATTGAAAAAGTGGCAGTGTCTCGACCTCCTACTCCTCGGCCCGCCTCTTCACCTTTGCTACTATTAGGGTCCCTTGCTGGGGCATGTTAGTTCGCGACGCCCGCTGAGATCCGACGACGCGGAGAAAATGCAACATCGTGAAAAATCACGATCGGAGCCCCAGAGCCCATCTTTCTGCGGCATGTTTCGAGCCACATCGACCTATGAGACGAAATTATGATAAAACGCCTGACTCGAAAAAATTGCGACGCCAGGATCTCATGGGCCCATACCCCCGACGTCATGATTTGTTCGTAACGGCCCATTCCCCGCGACCACTTTTTCATCCTGAGCCGTTTCTTGACGGCCCCGAGGCCCAGGAAAAGGCCCCGAGAGGCCGAGAACGACGAAAAAGCTCCAGCTCGACTTTTTCCCCAAACAGCTTGCTGAACGGGGTGCTGTTGTGGTAAAAGTTAACTCCGGCCGAGGGAATTCAAAGCAGAGACGTCCTCCAAAAAAATTCGTGGTCCAGGCCGTTTCGCCTGAGACATCCTCGCAACTCTCGTTTCTGAGTTGTCCGGGATTGGGCGTTTCGCGTGAGACATCCTCCAAACTCTGAGTTCCAAAATGCCGCGCAAGAGATGGTCCAGCCCGTTTCGCGTGAGACATCCTCCAAACTCTCAGCCCTGAGATGCCGCGCGAGAGGTAGTCCGGCCCGTTTCGCCTGAGACATCTTCCAAACTCTGAGCTCCCAGATGCCGCGCGAGAGGTGGTCCGGCCTGTTTCGCCTGAGACATCCTCCAAACTCTGAGCTCTCAGATGCCGTGCGCGAGGTGGTTCGGCGCGTTTCGCCTGAGACATCTTCGTAACTCTGAGTTCTGAGATGCCGCGCAAGAGGTGGTCCAGCCCATTTCGCCTGATACATCCTCGAAACTCTGGGCTCCCAGATGCCGCGCGAGAGGTGGTCAGGCCCGTTTCGCCTGAGAGGTCCTCGCAACTCTGAGCCCCTGATATGCCGTGCGCGAGGTGGTCCGGCCCGTTTTGCTTAAGACATCCCCGCAACTCTGCGCCCTCTGATGCCGCGCGAGAGGTGGTCCGGCCCGTTTCGCTTGAGACATCCTCTTAACTCTCAGCCCCGAGATGCCGCGCAAGAGGCGGTCTGGCCCGTTTCACTTGAGACATCCTCGCACTTTTGCATTCTGAGATGCCGCGCGAGAGGTGGTCCTGCCCGTTTCGTCTGAGACGTCCTCGAAACTCTGAGCTCTGAGATGCCGCGCGCGAGGTGGTCTGGCCCGTTTCGCCTGAGACATCCTCCAAACTCTGAGCTCTGAGCTGGCGCACAAGAGGTGGTCCAGCCCATTTCGCCTGAGACATTCTCGCAACTCTGACCTCGGAGATGCCGCGCGCGACGTGGTCCAGCCCGTTTCGCCTGAGACATCCTCGCAACTCTGAGCCCTGATATGCCCTGCGCGAGGTGGTCAGGCCCGTCTCGCCTGAGACATCCTCGCAACTCTGAGCTCTGAGATGCCGTGCGCAAGGTGGTCCGGCCCGTTTCGCAAAAGACATTCTCGCAACTCTGAGCTCCCAGATGCCGCGCAAAAGGTGGTCCAGCCTGGGGGCCCAGAAGACCACATGTTACATATCCCCCCTGGGACCCTGGGAGCCCCAGGAGGCCCCAGAGAGCTTCAGGAGGCCGCAGGACGCCCAGGACAGGCCCCAGGGGTCCCCAGGAGATTCCCAGGAGGCTCCCAGGAGGCCCCAGGAGTCCCCCTATCAGAACGTGTCAAGTTAAGACACATCCGGTGTCGATTCGTTGATTTTTCCTGCTCTTATGGCGCCCCCCCCCCCTTTTGGGGAGCCCAGACGGCCACATGTTAGATATCCCCCCCTGGGAGCCCCAAGAGGCTTCACAGGAAGCAGCCCCAGGTGGGGTCCAGGAGGCCACAGGAGGCCCAGTAGGAAGCCCCAAGAGGTCCCCAGGAAACCCCAGGAGGCCCCAGGAGGCTACCGCAACTCGGAGCTCTGAGACGCCGCGCTCGAGGTGGTCCAGCCGGTTTCGCCTGAGACTTCTTCGCAGATCGTTTCGCCCGAGACATCGTCGCAACTCTGGGGTCCGAGATGCCGCGCGCGAGGTGGTCCAGCCCGTTACGCTGGAGACATCCTCGTAACTCTGGGCTCCGAGATGCTGTCTGGGATGAAGAGGTGGAGGAGGAGTAGGAGGAGGAGAAGGAGGAGGAGAAGGAGGAGGAGATGGAAGGGAGAAGGAGGAGGATGATGTGGACGAGGGAGCAGGCAGGAGGAGGATGAGGAGGAGGAGGAGGAGGAAGAGGAGAAGGAGGAGGAGGAGGAGGGCGAGACCTAACGGGAAGCGAGGAAAGCGGGTGTGACGTGGACTTGTCAGAACTTGTGCGAGAGGTTGTCTGGCCCGTTTCGTTTGAAACATCCTTCCAATACTGAGCTCGAAGATGTCGCCAAAACTGAGCCTCTAACAGTGCCGACCCGACAGCTTACTGGACGATCAGGCGCGAGAGAGTACGACACCCTCTAGCGTTAGCTTCCTGATACGCATGCGTCACACAAGTTTTCGTGTAAACATCCCATGTGCAAACATCATGCTATCATGTTCTAACATGCCATGCCAGCCCGCACTGGGTGGGCACGCAATCGACCTTGGAAACCGCAGTGGGTTTAAAAACCCTGTTTGGGGATACTGCACTCGGGCTACAATTCAAGACGCCAGATGTCTGAGAGTGCTGCGCGACCCGTGCAGGCCCGGGGGCCCGAAAATCTGGGCCAGAACGCTGGGCGCGAGCAAGAAAAACCTGCGACGCCCGAGAGCCCCGAGCTGCGACGTCCCCGGGCCGCAGCTAAGTAGCGCACACCCTTCCGCCGTGCCCCGTTCGTTGGCCCCGCGCCCCGCCCCCCCTGCGCGCCACCGACGGACAAGCGCGTTCCACTACTCGCAAAGTAACTGCTCGCAAATGCCCTGGATCCGCCGCGAGGGCTTTACGATCCAATACACATAGGGAGACATGTTGTCTCGGACGCTTGCGAGCAGGCACTCTGCGCGTAGTGGAACGCCCAGGCCGTCGCAACTGGCGCGGGCAGGCCGGGCCAGGCCTCCAGCGCGCGGGCGCTGTGGGCCTCCTGGCCCAGCTCGGCCAGGGCCGCCTCGAGCCTGTCAGAGGCGGGCGCCCGCGGGCGCGGGGGGGCACTCCTGGTTGGGTCGACGGCCCCCTCGGATCCAAGCAGCAGCAGGGTTGAGGCGCAACGACAAGGGGGGAGGGGGGGGGGGGGGGGGGGGGAACATCGACCTGGAATCGGCGATATATCGCCGATAGATCGGCGGTGGGCCCCCGATAGCGAATCCCCACGTTCCTGGGCGGGGTGGGGCTATCGGCACCTTATCGGCGATCAATGGGCGATGGGGGTCGATGCATCCCCCCCTATGCACATCCCCCCTACCGTTGCGCCCGAAGGGCAAGGATCCCAGAGCCCGCTCGAGTCATGAAAACAAATCACGACGGAAGATTTTTCGCTATGTTCGGCCTCTGGGGGCCCTTACCAAGCCTCGGGGCCGTCAAAAGGAACGGCTCGGGGCAGAGAACTGGTCCTGGGGAATGGGTCGAGACCTTTGGGGGTCGACGTGACGAAAACAGCATGACGTCGGGGGCCTGGGATGGGGCGCAACGAAGGACGCCGAGGCACAAACAGAAGGGAGGGGAAGACCAGAAGGACGAGGACGGGGGGAGGAGCTGCGCGTGGCCAGGGAGCTGCGCGTGGCAGAGAGGCCCGCGTGGGCTCGGGGGCACACGCGCCAGCTCCTCAGACCCCACTGCACCGAGGAGAAAGCACGACCCGCGGTGTTGGTCGATTCTCGGCCTCTGGGGAAGTCTCAGGCGAAACGGCTGCCAGGCCGCTGCCGAACGGAGCGGCCTCGGGCTCCCCCAGTGTGGGACTCTCTTCTGTGGTCCGTGAATCACGAAGAAACCTCCAGCGAAACGCTATGAAGAGAAAATGCCCCAGGCATGCTCGCGTCGTGAAACAGTCACGACGGAAAATGTTTGGACGGTTTGGGCCTCCGCTGTCGTCGTTTCGCTTTTGCTGACAAAGGAAGCCAAAACGAACATGGCACACGAAATCGCCAAAGAACCGTTTAGCTCGAGCCCTACTGCTTCGTCCATGCCAAGAGGCCCAACCTGCTAGCACACTGCCGGAACCGGGGGAGATGGAGAATCCACCCGGCAGCTCATTAATACGCAGAGGTGGGGGAAAACGCTGTTACACGTCGAATCGGAAAAAAGAGTGAGCGGAAGTAACGAGTAGAAGGGCGTTTCCAGTAGAATTATGTTCGGCCCGCCCCCGACAAGGAGAGAAGGGAGGACACCCAGCTGTTGAAATAGGAGAACGCGTTGACCACATCAAGCCCTGGTGCTCCACAAATATCTGCTGTGATCGATCGACAAAAAGCCCCACTGGCCAAAACACGGTGGCGCACGCCCCCGTTGCCGCCAGTAGCACTGACGGCAGGTCCGTATCGTGACGGCTGGCTCGTGGGTCTCTGACACCGCGTGGATCGTTCAACCTCGAACGATCGCGCCTTTCCGACAGCGCAGATGGTTCGATGTCGGCCGACTCCAGGCCATGGAGAAGTTCAACCATGAACGCCCGCGCCGGGGTTGCCACGGCGCCAATGCGGCGCAAATCTGCCGTATGCTTCTCGTCCTCGAAGCTGGAGATAACGGAAGCTGGAAATTCCGCCCAAGAACAAAGCAGAGCCCCAGGACGGCAAGGCACTGACAGTGTAGCTCAGCATCAACACAGTGGCCGGGGAGCCCCCAAAGAGAGGGAGGTCGGGCACTGCTGCGCTGCACCGCTGGGGCTTGTCGGGCGCGCGCCGCCTGCAAACGGCGCCAGGCGCGCCGCCGCCGCTGCCGCCTGCGCGGCCCCCTCGAGTGCACCGCTCACCATCGAGTCCACGCGCGCGCTGCACCTCTGGCCAGCACACGGCGCTCGGCTCAGGCGGTGGTCCAGGACTGCGCGGCTCCCAGGGCAATGCTGTACGAGGTGCACGGCCGCCTCCGCGGAGTCTCCGCACAGGCTACAATCTGGCGCCTCCTCAGCGTGGTCGCTCTCGAAAGCTCCTTGGACCACGACCCGCGCCCACGCCCGCACGTGGCTGATCAAGCAGCCCACTTCAGCACTCCAGCTGGTTCTCCTGGCCGCAGCTGCCGCCTTTCGATGCGCTTGTGCCGCTTGCCACGGCCCTTTTCTGGTCCCCCAGGAGCACGCATGGAGAGTGGGAGAAAACGGGGACCATGATCAAGACTGAGCGCGGCAACGTCGTGCCGATATTGGCCACCTGGTCAGCTTCAACTCGTGGATCATCTTCGCGAATCGGCGATGGCCGACATGGACCATGACCAAGATCGGCATCGACAAGACCCTGCGACATCTGTCATGGTCCCCGTGCTCCGTCCCTCGAGTGCTGGTGCGAGGCCGAGGAGCAGCCTCGCGCGGGCTGGCCTTGCTGCGCTCCTGCGCCGCAGCCCGCCGAAGCAGTCGCAGCTCTGTCACACACTGCGCCGCCACCGCAGCCGCCCAGGGGCCCCAGGGTCTGCTCCCGCGCTGCGCTGCTCCGCGTGGCGACACGGACTCGCGTCCACAGCGTGCACGCCAGCTCCAGGGCGTGCGCGGGCCATCTTTCCGGCCTCCCGAGCTCGTCCAGGGTGCGGGCCCTGGGGACTGGCCCTGTGGCGTGCCGCCCCCACGCCTCCTGGCCGCGATCCGCCTCCTTGCTGGCCCTGGGCACGTGCACGCGCAGCCCCAGCCCGTGCGAGGACTCCGGGCGAGCGCGGGTCCACAGCGCAACCGGGCAGCTGCATCTCTCCACGGGGGGGGGCGTCCTCGTCACGCACGGGGCCGACGTGCAAGCGGCCAGGGTGGCGCGCCGCCCACAAGCACGAGCGGAGGTGCGCACGCCCTGGCGCACTGGTGCCCTTCAGTGCCCAGGCACGCGTACTCGGGGACTCGGGGACGAAGTGGGCGCGTCCGCAGGGCCGAGTGCCCTGGAGGCCTCGGGCAAGCGAAGCCGTCTTCGTCGGGCCGTACTGGGTGAGGGCCCCAACCTCCTCCTAATCCTTCCTCTCCTCATCCTCATCCTCCTCATGCTCCTCATCCTCCTCCTTCTCCTGCGCCTCCTGCTCTTGCGCTTAATCATCATCATCATCATCATCATCATCATCATCATCATCATCATCATCATCATCATCATCATCAGCAGCAGCAGCATCATCATCAGCAGCAGCATCAGCATCAGCATCAGCATCAGCATCAGCATCATCATCATCATCATCATCATCATCACCACCATCATCATCATCATCAGCATCATCATCATCAGCAGCAGCATCATCATCAGCAGCATCATCATCAGCAGCAGCATCATCATCGTCATAATCCCACCAGCCCTCTGGGCGTCGGTGGTTTAGAGAGTTTCCTCTTCCACCCCTCCTTCTTCCCCTTCGGGGAGGGGTTTACCACTCCCCCTAACCCCTCCCCATGGACCTGGACAGGGGGTTCCGCGAGTCGTCGGAGCGTCCAAAACGGCCTCGGCGAGGAAGCCAAAATCATTGATGTTACTAGGGTTTTGCCCCATTTTGGCCTCTTGAGGGGGGACGCTAATTGTGACCCCCCCTCTTGTTTGATCGAGCTCCTCCAAGATGGCCCCAAGAAGCGCCCCGGAGGCCCCAAGAGGTCCCAAGATGGCCCCAAGATGGCCCCAAGAGGCCCCCAAGAGGCCCCCAGAAGGCCCCCAAGAGGCCCCCAAGAGGCCCCAAGACCCCCCAGAGGCACCCAAGATGCTCCAAGAGGCCTCGGCGAGAATGCCAAATCACTGATTTTACGAAGGTTTTAGCCACATGTTGGCCTCTTGGGGGGAGGGGGGCCCTGATTAAGATGACTCCAAGAGCACCTGGGAGAACCCAAAATGACCTCCAAGATGGCTCAAGATATCCCAAGATGTCTCATAACGGCTTCCTCTGTGTGCTGCCCACTTCCCTGATCGAGGCAATTCCTCTGGGCATCGTTTCTGGATGGGCTGGTAGGGATTCGCGAAGCGTCAACAATTACGATTACTATCATCATCAGCAGCATCAGCATCAGCAGCATCAACATCATCATCATCATCACCATCACCATCAGCAGCATCATCATCATCATCCTTGACATCATCAGCATGATCATCGTCATCATCATCATCATCATCATCATCATCATCATCATCATCATCATCATCATCATTATCCCATTGACCATACTGACCATCGTCATCCAAGTGGTCAAAATCGAAGTCCTCCCCCTACGTCTGATCACCCTCGCCCTCATCATCATTGCCATCGTCATCATCATCATCATCATAATCATCATCATCATCATTGCCATCATCATCATCGTCATCGTCATCATCATCTTCATCTTCATCTTCTTCATCATCATCATCATCATCATCGTCATCGTCATCGTCATCGTCATCATTGTCATCATCGTCATCACCGTCATCGTCGTAATCGTTGTCATCATCATCAGCATCAGCATCATCCTCTCCTCCTCGACCTGCTCATCCGCAGTACACTATGTGTATCCCCTCTCCTGATACTGCTCATATTCGTCCTCAGCATCGGTATCCTTTATCATTCCAATCACCATCACCACAACCGCCATCATCACCATCATCCCACCATCATCCCGTTCATAATCAGCATCATCATCATCACCACCACCGCCTCCAGCACCAACCTCACCATCATCATCATGACAATGGTCATCATCATCATCATCAGCATCATCATCGTCGTCGCGCTCATCAGGTGGACCATCATCATCCAAGTGGTCAAACTCGAAGTCCTCCCCCTACGTCTGATCATCCTCGCCCACATCATCAAAATTGCCATCGTCATCGTCATCGCCATTGGTATCATCATCGTCATCGTCATCCTCATCGTCAGCATCATCGTCATCATCGTCATCACCGTCATCGTCGTCATCGACGTCATCGTCGTCATCATCATCATCAGCAGCAACATCGTCCTCACCTCTTCCCCTGCGCATCCTCAGTACAATAATTGTATCCCGCCTCTCCTCCTACTGCTCATCTTCGTCCTCAGCATCGGCATCACCAACTATCACAATCACCATCACCGCCACAGTCATCATGACCATCTCACCATCATAAGCCTCATGAGCATCAGCATCATCATCATCACCACCACCAGCACCAACCTCATCATCAGTATCATCATCCCATTCATCGTGCTGACCATCGTCATCCAAGTGGTCGAAAGCGAATTCCTCCCCAATACATCTGATTATCCTCGTCCTCATCATCAGAATCGTCATCAGCATCATCATCGTCATCATCATTGTCATCTTCATCGTCATCATCTTCATCGTCATCACAGTCCGCTTCACCATCGTCGTCATCGTCGTCAGCATCATCATCATCATCATCATCATCATCAGCATCAGCATCAGCATCAGCATCATCATCATAAGCGACATCGTCCTCTCCTCCTCACCCTGCTCTTCATCAGTACTATACATCTATCCCTCCGCTCCTCATATTGCGCATATTCGTACTCGGCGTCGGCATCATTCAATCAGCATCATCATCAGCAGCAGCATCATCATCCGACAATCATCATCCTTAGCAGCATCATCATTATCATCATCAGCCTCACCACCACCACCACCACCACCAACAACAACAGCATCGTCATCATCGTCATCATCAGCAACGCCCTCATTGCCATCATCGTCATCGTCATCATCATCGTCGTCGTCATCATCATCCTCATCATCATCATGATCATCGTCATCGTCATCGTCATCATCGTCATCATCGTCATCATCATCATCATCATCATCATCATCATCATCAGAATCGTCAGCATCCCACGTATCATGCTGACCATCGTCATCCAAATGGTCAGGGTCGAACTCCTCCCCCTACGTCGCATCATTCTCGTCCGCGTCATCATCAGCATCATCATCATCATCAGCAGCATCATCATCATCGTCATCATCACCAGTGTTCCATCTCCTCCTCCTCATTCTCTCGTCTTACTGATCTTCATCGCCTTCCCATCCTCCTCCTCCTCCTGCTCCTCCTCCACCTCCTCCTACTCCTCCTGACCGTCTTCATTACAACCACCATCAGCGTCCTCATAATGCTCCCCCTCCTCCTCCTGCGTGTCCTCCTACTCCTCGTCATCATCCCCTCCTCATCTCCCTACGCAGATCCATCCTCATGATCGTAATCCTCCCCTTCTCCTCATCATCCTGATCATTCTCATCCTAATCGTCGGCATCAGCAGCAGCGACAGCAACATCGCATGTATCCCCATGGTCATCATCATCCAAATTATTATGATCCGATTATGTCTCATCATCCTATTCATCCGCATCTTAATCCTAATCTTCATCATCGCATTACCCCTCCTCTTCTTGCTCACGCTCGTCCTCCTAATCATCATCATGACCACCTGGGCGAGCGGGCGGATCCGAACGGGCGGGCCAAGCGGGCGGGACATTGCAGCGGGCGGGCAAGCCGTCAAGCAAGCGGGCGGGCGGAACCTGCACGGGCGGGTCGGACGTGCAAGCAAGCGGAGCCTGACGGGCAGATCGGGCGGACGGGCGGGACGAGCGGGCCCGCCACTTAAGAGAGCGGGCGGGCTGTACCATCCGAAGCATCAACAGGAACAGCATCAGCATCATCATCGCCATCACCAGCACCATCGCAGTCGTCGTCATCGCCATCATGATCTTGGCCATCGTCAACACCATACGTATTCCCCATGTTCCTTCCCTTTCTCCTCACCCTCCTCCTACTCATCATCATCCTCCTCCTGGCCATCCTCTTCCTCCCCACTCTCTTCAAAACCATCCTCATCGTCCCCCCTCCTTCTCATCCTCCTCCTCCTCCTCCTCCTCCTCCTCCTCCTCCTCCTCCCCCGTGCTCATCCTCATCATCCTTCCCATCCTCCATTCCTTTTCCTTATAAATGACTTCTCCCTATCGCGCCCCGAGGCCAGTTTTTAGGGCGGGCCGGGCGTTTCGCCTGGGACTTCCGCACCAGGTATGAGTCTGAAGCTTAGAAAGTGACAAGAGCTTCACGGATTGAGGGCGGGTGGTTTTCAAAATGTGGCTCTCGCCTTAGCGTCGCGCACATTCGTTTCAAAAATTTGCAGGAGCTTCACGGATTTAGGGCGGGTCGTTTCAAAATGTGGCTCTCGCCTTGGCGCCTCGCATATTCGTTTTCAAAATGTGCAAGACTTTCACGGATTGAAAGCGGCTCCGTGTCAAAATTTGGCTTTCGCCTGAGCGCCGCGCACATTCGTTTTCGAAAACTTGCAAATATTTCACGGATTGGGGGCGGGCCGTCTTCAAAATGCGGCTTTGGCCTTAGCACCGCGAACATCCTTTTCAAAAAATGTGCAAGAGCTTCACGGATTGAAGGCGGCTCCTTTTCAAAATGTGGCTTTCGCCTGAGCGCCGCGCTCATTCGATTTGAATATTCGCAAGGGTTTCACGGAATCCCATCATCAACATACCAGACATGGAGTTCTGGAAAGATTCAGGATTACGCGGGTGCAACAGTTACGTTGGCTCGTTGTTGAAATCCCAGGAATGGCGTTATGGCACGATTCAGGATCGCCAAGACGCAACCGTCAGATTGATCCGTTGTGTTGGAATCCCGAGAACACTGTTTTAGCATGCTTCAGGGTCTTCAAGCGGGCGTCTTCCAAAGAGGCAATTCCAACAACGGAAATGAGCCGTTGTAGGGCCTATGAAGAGGGAGCCTGGAAGGAGGGTTTAACTCTAACATCGTTGATGACTCTTGGGTTTCCACTGGTCCTCGTCTTCCTCCTCCAATCCTTCTCCTAATAAACAACTTCTCTCTGTCGCACCCCGAGGCCAGTTGGCGGGTCGCTTTCAACATGTGGCTCTCGCCTTAGCGCCGCGCACATTCGCTTTGGACATTTGCAAGAGCTTCACGGATTGAGGGTGGTTTTCAAAACGTTGATATCGCCTTAGCGCCGCGCACATTCGTTTTAAAATTTACAAGAGTTTCACTGATTGAGGGCGGGTCGTTTTCAAAAGCTGGCTCTCGCCTTAGCGCCGCGCACATTCGATTGAAAAAAATGCGAAGGTTTCACGGATTCCCATGATCAACGTAGCAGAACTGGACCAAGGTGGTGACATGTACGGAGAAGGTCAAGGATTCAGGATTATGCGGGCGCAAGACTTATGCTGACTCGCGGTGCTGAAGTCCCAAAAGTGGCGTTCTGGCACGATTCCCGATCATCAAGACGCAGCAATCAGTTTGATTCGTGGCGTTGAAATCCCGAGAGCAATGTTTTGGCACGCTTCAGGATCTTGGAACAGTTGTCCTCCAACGAGGCCGTTCCCTCAATGGAAATGAACTGTTGTAGGGGCCTCCGAAGAAGAAGCTTGGAGGGAGGGTTCATTCCAACATCGCTGATGACTCTTTGGTTTACACTGGTCCTCCTCCTCCTCCTCCATTTTCTCCTCCTCCCAATCCACATCTCAATACTTATCATCGGCATCGTCACTATCACCATCAGCAGCAGAGGCACTCCATCCAGTCCTCGTGGTCCTCGGATTCGTCCTCCTCCTGGCCGTTATTATTTCCTGTCATCTACAGCCAGGACAAAAGCTTCTTCAATTTGCCATGATGGTATCGCCTGTCCCTTTAAAGATTACTAACATGACATCATGACTGCCTCATTCGGCGGAGTAATTGCCCGATCCGCTTAATTCTTAGAACTCTGCTACCCCAGAACTGGATTGGAAACTACTCCGCTCCAAACCCTATGAGTTCTCGAGCGGGATGCGCCCACGCGCGGAGTAGTTGGAGCATTTCTACTCCGAACTATTCCGCGCTGGTGCGCTATTGGCGACGGCAGATCGAAGGAAACTTTCGTCACGGTGATGTATGATCTGTCTCAGCTATCGGACCTGCCCTCCCGACCCACTCCCCAGGAAAAGGTTTGCGCCCTGAAACCGTTGTTGATGGTCCAGGGGCCCGGAGACGGCCCCCGGGGGCCGCGATCGAGGAAAAGCAAAAGCGCCGGGAGTGAAGAAAAGTAGAAAATCGTCGGAAGGCTGGGCCTCTCACCGTTGCAATCCTCGAGCCAAGGATCCTTAGGCTGCATCTTCGGGGGACCCTGTCTGTCCCGTTCCTCCGCGATCCACGGCGGATCCGTGTCGAATCCGTCTCGAGCGCGTCGAATCCATGTCGAATCAGTGTCGAGCGAGCGCGTCGAATCCGTGTCGAATCCGTGTCGAATCCACGTCGAATCCGCATCGAATCCGCGTCGGAGTACAAGAAACGACTGCCATGTACAGGGCAGGAAAGGTCACCCGACGATGCCAAGTAAGGACCCGTCGGCCGCCCGCGCAGAGAAGCGCGGAGGGGGCGTGGAGAGGAGGCGCCGCTCGGCGGCGACCGCGGCGGCCGCCCGCCCCTCCTCTCGGAGGAGCAGCGGGGGGTGGGGGGGCAAGGACGAGGGAGGCTCGAACTTGCCCAAACCTCCTCGCGCTGTGGAAGACAACACGACGGGAGGGCTTGGGCCACGCAAATCCTCCCGGGGCCCTCGCCAGGCACCCAGATTGCAAAAAAGACAACCCGGGAAGAAAAACCGGGCCTGGGAAAGGGGTCCAGACCTCCGGGTGTCCACGTTGCGAACATAAAAACACGACGTCGGAGATCTGGGCCTCATTTTCCCCCGAAGGACACGGCAACCTCAACCAAACCTGCTGCCCCCTTCTTTCTGTTTCGGGCTCTCTGACCCCTACGTGGCACACGGTAGGGCAGCAAAGGGGGTAGCGAGCTGGTACTTGGTAGGCGAGCGAGTCTGTAAGTGCAACAAATTATTCGGGTGCTTCGAAGGCGCCAGGAGCGACCGTACCTGCGGTGCTGCCGAAACTTGAGTCCGCTGCCTCATGGGATCTGGCAAGCGGGGCATATGAAAAGGAAGACGAGGACAGGAAGGAGAAGGAGGTGGAGAGGGAGGAGGGAGGGGACGAGAAGGAGGACGAGGAAAAGGGGCAGGGCGAGGATGAGGAGCTATTGAACTCCGCTCGCTGAGCCCGTGAAACGGCATGCAACATGCAGCAAATGTCGTACCCCCTTTGCTCCCACCCGCTACCCCTCACGTCCAGCTCGGGGAGAGGAGACCTCAAAGTCCACCCGCGGGCCTGCCCAGGCCCAACAAGAGCCACAAACTCAACAAACCAAAGACAACCGAGACTATACCATCGAATCTCGACTTGCCTCCTTAGACGGACAATGTTCCCAGAAAGCCCCCCTTTCGGCCCCTGAGCGAAGAGAGCAAGGGGGAGGAGGAGGCGGAGGAGGAGGAGGCGGAGGAGGAGGAGGCGGAGGAGGAGGAGGAGCAGCAGCAGCAGGGGAAGGGGCAGGAGGAGGGAGGAGGCGTAGCAGGAGGGAGGAGCGAGGGAGTAAGGAGGAGGAAGAGGAGAAGGACCAGAGTAGATTCAATACGCATCAAAGGTACTGCAACGCGCCGTCCCGTCAAAAATCCCCTCCTCGTACGTACCTACGTGTTTTCCTTCCCACTGTAGAAGACGCCCCCCTTGGCAGACGAACGCCCCGTGAGCGTGTCATTCTGACGAGACCCCGTCTTGTAAGTACAAGAATGCTGTCCTCCTCGCTAAGATTTTTTTTCGTCGGCGGCTAGGCAGGGGTCGTCTGCGTTGACGGATGAAGCTAACTAAACGGGGGTTCCGTTGTGGCGAAGTGGCCACCGTGCAAGAGGGGGGGATGACGGAAAAGACGATAAGAGAAACAGAAAGAGGGTGGGTCAGCAAGCTCAAATACATGTCCAACGATGACTCCGTTCTTTTTTACAGGCCACCCTTCGCCCGTGTAGAGGCTGCCCAGCTCGCCACAAACTTTGAAGAGGTCCAAAGCGGGATCCCGAATTTGAGAACACACCGTCCTCCATCAGAGTAATTGCTTTTATGTTGTAAGACGAGTGTGCGCGGCGCCATGGCGAGAAACACATGTTGAAAGGCCGCACCCCCGATCGGCATCTGTTGGGACATTAAAACGTGCGTGCGCGGAGCCAAGGCAATGGCATTAGGCCTGTACCGCCTCCCAGTACAGTGGGTGCCTGCACTCAGGGGGTCTCACCTGCGCTCCAACGGGGGTTGGACAGGCGCGTCGAGGTCTCGTCTGGTGCCCACTCGTTGGGCGCCCCTGGGCACTTCGTGGCCGCCTCCTGGCCCGGGTTGGTGTGCCGAGGCTTCGCGCGGTGCTCGCCCGTGGGGGGCTTCGGGGGCGCCTTCGCTGGGTGGGTGTGCCGAGGTTTCGTCCGGTGCCCGCCCGTGGCCGCCCGTGGGCGGCTCCTAAGCGCCTCGTGCGTTGGGCGGCCGCAAGGATTGCACTGCCTGGCTTTTTCCACACGTCACCTGGCTTGCGCCCCCTGGCTTTTCAACCACAGACCTTACACCACATAGCTTGCACCAACCAGCTTACACCCCACAATTCTCCTTTAAAAACACAATAGGATCTACCCCCCCGGCGTTATCGGCCCCCCTTTCGGGTATGTAAATCATATATGATCCTGACCACATGTCCATTCTAAATATGAACTTACACTATCCCAGGCCAGCCAGGTTTCCCCCTCTGAGGTTCCTCTTTTTTTTCATTTGTTGTTCGAACATAACACTTGTGCACGAATCCCTTGCAAAAAATGGGACGAAGTGCACACGCGCGCGTCGTCGCGCTCGCATCCCGAAATCCTTCAAAAACCTTCGGTGCCGGAAGGATTTCGCAGTCGAGTTTCCAAAGAACATACAAAAAAACAGGGTTTCGCAAGACTGATTTGCTAAAAAAAGCTTACGCGCGAGCTCTTGCGAAATCTTAGAAAAACCATAGGTTTATCAAGATGTTCACAAAATGCTACCAAACGGGTTTCGCGCGCGCATGTCGAAATCTGTCGAACGCCCTTGCGCGTGTGCCGTCGCGAGAATCCTCTGCAAAAAAATTGACGAAGTGCAGACGCGCGCGTCGTCGCGCGCGTATGCCGAAATCCTTCAAAAACCTTCGGTTTCGGAAAAATTTCAAAATCGTGTCCAAAAAACCTACAAAAACCCAAGGTTTCGCAACACGGATTTTCAACAAAAGCGTGCGCGCGCGCTCTTGCGTCGTCGTCGTCGTCCTCCCTCCTCCCTCGTCGTCGTCGTCGTCGTCGTCGTCGCCGTCGTCGTCTTCTGTCTTTCCTCGTCGTCGTCGTCGTCGTCGTCTTGGCGTCGTCGTCGCTTCCGTCGTCGTTGTCGCCGTGGTCGTCCTTCCTCCCTCGTCGTCTTCGTCGGCGTTTCGTCGTTGTCCCTCCTATTTCGTCTCCGTCGTCGTCGTCGTCGTCGTCGTCGTCGTCTTCACTCCGCCCTCGTCGTTGTCCTCCTCCCTCGTCGTCGTCGTCGTCCGTCGTCGGCGTCTCGTCGTCGTCCCTCCTATTTCGTCGCCGTCGTCGTCGTCTTCGTCGTCGTTGTCGTCGTCGTCTTCCCTCATCCTTCGTCGTTGTCGTCGTCGGCGTCGCCGTCCTTCCTCCCTCTTCGTCGTTCGCGTCGTCGCCGTCTTCCCTCCTCCATCGTCGTTGTCGTCGATGTCGCCGTCGTCGTCCTCCCTCCTCCCTCGTCTTCGTTGGCGACGTCGTCGTCGTCGTCGTCGTCGGCGTCGGCGTCGTCGTCATCGTCGTCGTCGACATCGGCGGTGTCGTGGCAGTCGGTGTCGGCGGCGCCGTCGTCGTCGTTGTCGCTGTCGTCGTCGGCGTCGGCGTCGTGGCCAAATGCCATGTGGTACCTACCGTCACGGTCTTGTCTTAAGAGGTTTTGCGACCAAGTTGCGGGTGGGAGGGTGGGATGTTTGCACGAGCAGTAGAGAGGACAGCTTCAAGACGGTCAAAGATTAGCTTACACCGCATAAATTGCACCGCGCAGCTGACACCTCACAGCTTACACGTTTGCGCCGCATAGCGTGCACAAAATAGTACACATCACACAACTTAATCCACATAGCTTGCCCCACATAGCGTGCACCAGGTAACGCACGCACATGTCTTGCACCATAGAGCGCGCACGTCCACAGTGCAATAACCTAATGTGCTGGATCTGCGCTGGCAAACATACTTCAAATTAAGCAAAAGATGCCAACAAAACTGTTGGAAACGTTGAAGACGATTGCCTGCGGCGCCAAAGCGGAAAACTAATTCTGAAAACCACCTGTGCTGTGTCCGTACTACTGTAGGAAGCCCCTAGCAAATCCGACATCGCATGTTGTGAGAACGTATGGTACGAAACGCCTAGACCTTTCTAACGACACGTCTGATAGTGCGATAAGGACGAATTATTCCCCAATCAGAGCTTGCCTCTGTAGGGGCCCTAGCGGATTCATATGGTTAGGTTAGGTTTGTCGCCGATTTTCGCCGCACGCCCGGGTGCCCGGGTGCCCGGGGGTGCCCGGGTGCCTGGGTGCCCGGGTGTCCGGGCGTGCCCGGGGGTGCCCGGAGGTGCCCCATAGCCCTATAGCCCTATAGCCCAATGGCCCAATAGCCCTATAGCCCTATAGCCCATATAGCCATATAGCCCAATAGCCCATATAGCGCCCAAGAGCCCATGTAGCCCTGTAGCCCTATAGCCCTACAGCCCTAAAAAGATTATGATTGGGGCTTTTCTCCGGTACCATGTACAGAGTGATGGAGGAGGAGGAGGAGGAGGAGGAGGAGGAGGAGGAGGAGGACAACCCATGCCTCAACTGGCCCTCCTCTGACAACCTCCTCTTCGCCCCCTCCCCAAGCGAAGCCCAGCAGATGCCGACTGCGACCGTGCACCGCGGAAAGAGCCTGGGGCGGCGGCACCCAGACCGCTATACACACCGCTGATCCCGTAACCCCCAATCCCACCCACCCACCCCCTTGCAGTCCGACCCGAAAGATTCGCAAGCGGCTGCAGATACCAGTACCGCCACTCCGCGGACCTCTCCCCGGGTGCGTTCTGCCTTCTGACCAGGGTTCCGAGATGCATCTGGCAGCGGAGACGAGAGTTGGGCAGCGGTATTGGTTCGGCAGCGAGCCCAGAGGGGAAGTGCAAAAGGGCGGGCCTTCTCAGAAGGCTCGGCAGCCCTCTGGCCTCCTGAGAAGTTCCCTGGGCCTTCACAGAAGGCACAGGCAACTTCTCTCAGAAGGCACGAGGGCTTCTGAGTAGCCCCGCCGCCTTCTGAGAAGGCCCTCTCCTTCTCACTTCACCCCCTCGCTCCCCGCCGAATGATGTCCTCTCCGCCTCTGATGCGAGCGCCTACATCCGACGGATTGCTTCCTTCCATCCGCGGGGCCCGAAAAGGTCTCGGCTCCCCCCACCTGCACACCGGGGGCACATCCTCGTCCCGGCTCCACTTCTGCTGGCCCCGGAGCTCGTCTCCGCCGGCTCCAGGCAAGGGTGACCGCTGGTCCGCGGCTCGCCGATCGCTGCATGCGATGGGACACCCGCGGCCTGGAGCCTCCCGCGCCGCCCCCCCCGAGAGCCGCGCACCAGAAGTTCAGATAGGGGATCGGCTACAGAATTGATGTAGCCCCACATGGTTCTTGCTCGTCGGATCTACGAAAAATGCACAGAATGCTCCCCAGATCTACGAGCACTCTACGCTTTTGTCGCAGATCCGACGAACATTCATTTTTTGGGGTACATCAATTCTGTAGTCGATTCTCTATTCGAAAATGTCACTCCCGCGCAGGGTCACTCGGCTTTCGGGTCCTCCCTCGGGTCTCCGGCAGCGGCCGGCTGCACCCCGGGAACGCCCACGTCCACCGATCTGATTTTTCCGATCCGCGGCCCCCAGAAGTCCCGACTGCTTCCTCGGGCGAAGTCCGCCACGTAACCCCTGGCACGTTGAGGCGTGGAAGACTGCCAGGGTCTGTCTGGTAGGGTTTTTTCACTTCTCAGGATAAGGGATCCCCACCCAACCAGCAGATTCCTGCGTGCACCGCCCCTCCTTTCTGAGGCTACTTACCTCGTGCCCGCTCGAGGGTGGTGCGCTTTCAGCATGGCTGCTACTGTCTAAACCCCCATTCCACGCGTGCCCGCTCGAGAATGGTGCACTTCCCGTATGGCAACTTCTGTCTGAACCCCCCTTCCACGAGTGCCCGCTCGAGGATGGTGCACTTTCCGCATGGCAGCTAATGCCTGAACCCTCATTCCATGCGCGCCCACTCGAGGATTGTGCGCTTCCCGCATAACTCCTAGACCCCTCATCCCATGCGCATCCGCTCGAGGATCGTGCACCTCCTGCATTCCCAAGCGCTGCTCCCAGGCGCTCCAGGGCCTCCCAAGCCACAATCCCTCGTTGAGAACGACGAATACGCGTCCCGAGCTTCCAAAATGGCCCGTGCAGGCAACTAAGGACACCAAAATGGCCTCGAAGACGGCCCAAAATGGCCCCAAGGCGGCCGAATATTGGTCTAAGACGGCCCAAGATACCTCGAAGAGGAATGTCCACAAGGGAACCTCCAACAGGGTCCGAAGAAGCCAACATCAGTAATCACCCTCGGGCTTCGAAATGATTTTCGCATTCTCGCCTGATCGGGCTGCCGTCAGCTCAAGACGGCCCAAGAGGACTCCACGATGGCCCACTAGGCATCAAAAATGGCCCTGTGGGACCTAAGACGGCCTTAGAAGGCCCTGCGCGACCCAATACGGCACCAAGAGAGCCCAAGACGGCCCAAGGAAGCCCAGAGCCGGCGTAAGAGGGCTCTCAAAAGGCCCAAGCGGCCCCAAGCATCATCATCATCATCATCATCATCATCATCATCATCATCATCATCATCATCATCATCATCATCATCATCATCATCATAATCATCATCATCATCATCACCACCACCACCACCGCCATCACCATCACCATCAGCATCATCATCATCACCATCACCATCATCACCATCATCACAATCATCATCACCATCATCACCATCATCACCATCATCATCACCATCATCACCATCATCACCAGCATCACCATCATCACCATCATCATCATCACCATCATCACCATCATCAACATCATCACCATCATCATCATCATCATCATCATCATCGTCACCACCACCACCACCTCCATCATCATCATCATCATCATCATCACCACCACCACCACCATCATCATCGTCATCATCATCATCAGAACCATAATCGTCGTCATCATCATCTTCATCGTCGTCATCATCATCATCATTGTCAGCAGCATCATCATCAGCAGCATCATCATAATCGTCATCATCATCATCGTCGTCATCGACACCATCATCATAATCGTCATCATCATCACCATCATCATCATCAGCAGCAGCAACATCAGCATCATCATCATCAGCAGCATCAGCATCATCAGCAGCAGCATCAGCAGCAGTATCATCATCAGCATCATCGACAGCATCATCATCATCATCATTATCAGCAGCAGCAGCGTCATCATCATCATCATCATCACCACCACCCCACCACCACCACCACCACCACCATCATCATCACATCACATCATCATCATCATCATCATCATCATCATCATCATCATCATCATCATCATCATCATCATCATCATCATCATCATCATCATCATCATCATCACCATCACCATCACCACCATCACCACCATCATCACAATCATCATCATCATCACCATCATCATCACATCATCATCATCATCATCATCATCATCATCATCATCATCATCATCCTGCTCGTCGTGCAGCTGACTCGGGCCCCGACTCCTCCGCGCCACTCGCGGCCGCCTCCTCCGCGGCAGCCGCCCGGCGCGCCGCCTGCTCCGACGACTCCGCCGCGGCGCTGCGAGCGCGGGCGGCGCCCTCGGAGGGGGAGGGCTCCTCTTCGCTCCTCCTCCTCCTCCTCCTCCTCCTCCTCCTCCTCCTCCTCCTCCTCCTCCTCCTCCTCCTCCTCCTCCTCCCCCTCCCGTTTTTACATTCAAGCAACGTCAGCTGCGGGGGCTGTAGCGTCACTCGGGTATGTACGTCTGGGCCTCCTCTGCTCTATGGGTGCTGGCTCTTATCCGATGTGCGCGCGCGGGCGCCAGGCCCGCTGCGCGCGGCGGGCAGGGGCGGGAGGGCAGAACGTCGAAAGGAAAATTCAGAGGGCCGGGAGGACAGGACGGGGGGGGGGAGGGAATGGCCGGCCAGGTGCGCGTCCGCGAGGCCCCAGCCACCGACGCCTCCTCGGGTCAGCCCACGCGCCTAAACCAGGTGACCGACACGTAGCCGTCCTGCTGGAAGAACTCCACCCGGTAGGCCTCGCCCGGCTCGCCCACGATGCACCAGGACAGGTCCCTCCCTGCTTTTCTCGGCCCCTCGATCTTGGCGGCCTTCATCGTGCACCTCGGCAGCCTGGGGTGGATCACCTTGTCGCTGTCGCCGTCACAGATGACCTGGAACGAGGCCTCGCCACTGCTCCCCAGAGACACGGTCCCGGTCCAGAGGCCCCGGACGCTCTCGCTCATCTCGAGGGCCTCTGGCTCCCAGCCGTTGTGGTCCCCCCGGATAAAGAACTCCTCCCCAAAGTCCTCGAGGGCCTCGTCCTTCTCCCACGCCGCGACACCGTCGTCCTCCAGGCTTATCTTCCACTTGCTGTCGGGCTCTGCTCGCGGATCGATCCCAGTGGTGTCCCACTCGGCCACATCGTCGCCGTTCATGGTTACCTCTGCCGGCGGCGCGGACATCAGCTTCCTCTCGAAGGTCTTGTTCACGTCGCGGGACTGGCGAACGGCACCCCTGGAGGTGTAGACGTTCTTACCCCAGGCGTGCCCGTGGGCGTTCGTACCCCCGAAGCCGAAGGACGAGACGCCGCTGAAGGCGCTGTCGTTGGCCATCGTCACCGCCTCGGTGAGCATCTGCACGGGGAAGCCCTCGACGTCCAGGTGCGGGTTGCGGTTGCGCAGGTGCAGCCCCGCGGCCCCCTCGTTGTGGGACACCTGGGCGATGCACTTGAAGAAGCCAGCGAGCCCTGCACCGCCCTCGCCGTGGGCGATGGCAGACTTGCTGGACGAGATCACCACGGGCTGACGCCTTTCCACGCTGCTCATCGCCTTCCTGAAAGACCCGACCTCGATCGGGTCGCCGAGCGCCGTCCCCGTGCCGTGGCACTCGAAACAGTCGATGTCGGCCGCCGAGATCTTCGCCTCGCGGAGGACGCCCTGGATGCACTTTTCCTGCGCGGGGCCGTTGGGCGCCGTCATCGTGGCACTGCGGCCGTCCTGGTTCGAGTAGCTTCCGGACAAGAGCGCGTACATGCTCTCGCCGTTGTCGAATTTCTGGTCGAGCTTGAACCCTAGGGAGCCCGAGAGCTCCCCGCGGCAGTACCCGTCGGCACTCTTGTCAAAAGTGAAGCAGCGGCCGTTGTGGGTGAGCATCCCAGCGGCGCAGCAGCCAATGAAGGGTCCTGGGGACAGCATCAGGTTGATACCGTTCACTACGGAGGCGGGCATTGGCTCATTATCCTTGTATCGTAGGTGTAGCTTGGAAACGTGGATGCACACTAGGGAGGACGAGCAGGCCGTGTCGATGGTCATGCTAGTACCCTTCAGGTTAAAGGTGTACGAGAAGCGGTTGGAGGTGATGGCGTTCGCAGCGCCGGCTGCACTGTGCACCCCGTCGAGTTTGATCGAGCCCGCAGCGCCCATGCACATCCAATCGTCCTTGTCGATGCCGACGAAGTGGCCGATGTTCTGAGATTTCCGCTGCAAGCTCGTCTTGTCGTACCCGAGCTCCAGCAAAGCCATGTATGACACCTCAAGGACCTGCCGCTGCACTGGGTCCATGCACTTCGCCTCCGCCTGCGAGATCTCGAAGAACTTGGAGTCAAAGAGGTCCACGCCAGGAATTCCGAAGCAGCCGTGCTTGCAATAGGCGCCCCCGAACTCCATGTCCGGGTCGTAATACGGGGTGTTGTCCCACCGCAACTCAGGAATCTCCGTGACGCCGTCCGCTCCAGCCCGGCAAATGCCAGTCCAAAACTTGTCGGGCCCGTCGGAGTGGCCGCCGTACCGGCAGTACATGGCCTGGATCGCCACCTTCTCGCCCAGAGGAGGTGCTGGCCCAGAGCTGAGGCTCTTGAGGAGCAGCTCGGGGTCTGCCTCGACCGTATCGATGGAGAAGACCGCGGGTTCGCTCAGGAAGAAAGAAGTCAAGGTCAACGAGTCTTTGGCCATCTTGTGCTCGTACTCGAAGCGGGCGGCGGACACGAGCACGAGGGTGTGGGGCTCCGCCCGGAGCGTCACGTCCTGGCCGCCACTGGTCAGGGAAAAGAGCGTCAGGGTGCCCTCGGCGGGGCCCACGAACTGCAGTAGCGCCAGCTTCTTTCGATACATGGTGTGCAAGTATCCCTCCGCGTCGCCATCGTCCACTTCCGCAGGAGCGTACCTGTCATCGTCACCGTCTGCGAGCGGCCTGGTCAGCAGCATGCTGGTGCGACTGTAGATGCCGAACCCCAGACTGTCCCGCGTATGGGGAGCGAGCATATCGCTGATGGAACCGACATTGCTGTCCATGACCCGCAGGGGCGAGTCCCTGACGTAGCCTGGGGCAGATGCCTCGCTCGGGTCCAGGAGCAGCGTTTTGGCGGACCCGTCTCTGCCCAGGTAGCCGCGCTCGAACTCTACCGCCAGCCGCTCGAAGTGGCCCTCGTCCTCAAGCTGCCTGGCGGCGGACAGCATGTCCGCAGCGTCGTCCGCAGACACGAAGAGCTTGACCACGGCGTACCCTCTCGCGTCCAAGCACTCCGCCAGCGACCGGCCAACTATGTCGACGTCGGAAGCAGGCCCGAGCACGAAGTCGTAGTCGGCAAGCTCCTCGCCGTCCATCTCGCGCAGGTACTGCGAGTCCACGGCAACGACGTGGCCGTCGAAGGTCGCGGCGGTCCACTTGCCGGCCGCGTGGTCCACGCTGACGAGCTGCGCCCTGGCCCCGTTCAGGTCCATGGGCTCAGTGTCCCTTGCCTCCAGCGCCGGGCGAGCCGGGCCTGGCAGCCCGCCGACCTCCACCAGCATCCCGCACGCGAGAGTCATGGCTGAGCATTGTTTGGCCGACCCCTATCCCCATGGGCGTGGCCTGGGCCCCACTGGCCGATTTACCACCCTAGGTGGGGATCTGGTCGGTTTCCTTCGAGTTTCGAAGGGTCTATATCCCCAACAGGGGTGCTGAATGGTGGGGGTCTGGATAGGAATGTGCATGGGGATAGGGGTCGGTTAAACGACACTGAATGGCAACAATTGGGCGAAAGGGAGCGCAGGAGGACCTCTCGCGCGAGCGCCGGGGCCAGAGCGGCGCCAGCAAAAAAAAAAAACTCAAGCACAACTGGCTACGGAAACCTCCCACTTCTCCTCCTCCTCCTCCTCCTCCTCCTCCTCCTCCCCCTCCTCCTCCCCCTCCTCCTCCTCCTCCTCCTCCCCCTCCTCCCCCTCCTCCTCCTCCTCCTCCTCCTCCTTCTCCTCCTCCCCCTCCTCCTCGTCCTTCTCCTTCTCCTCCTCCTCCTCCTCCTCCTCCTTATCCTCCTCCTTCATTGCTCTTCCCTCTAGGTAACTTCTCCCTGTCGCACCCCGAGGCCAGTTTTTAGGGCGGGCCGGTCGTTTCGCCTGAGACTTTCTCATCATGTATGACTCTGAAGTTTTAAAATTGGCAAGAGCTTCACAGATGGAGGGCGGGTCGTTTTCAAAGTGTGGAGCTCGCTTTAGCCCCGCGCACACTCGTTTTTGTTAAGCAAGAATTTCACGGAGTGAGGGCGAATGGTTTTCAGACTGTGGTTATCGTCTTAGCGCCGCGCACATTCTTTGTAAAAACGTGCGAGAGAGAGAGATTCACTGATTGAGGCGAGTCGCTTTCAAAATGTGGTTCTCGCCTCAGCGCCGCGCACATTGGTTTTTAATATCCCAGAATTGCACGGATTGAGGGCGGCTCCTTTTCAAAATGTGGCTCTCGCCTTAGCGCCGCACTTATTCGTTAAAAATTGCAAGAGGTTAACGGATTGAGGGCGGCTTCTTTTCAACATGTGGTTCTCGCCTTAGCGCCACGCACATTCGTTTATAAACTGCGAAAGAGTTTCACGGATTCACATGATCAACACACCAGAAATGGCGTTTTGGAAAGATTCTGGACTATGCGGGTGCAACAGTTACGTGGATTCGCGGTGTTGAATTTCCAGGAATGGTGTTCTGGTAAGATTTACGATCGTCAAGGCGCACAAATCAAGTTGATCCGTGGCGTTGGAATCCCGAGAATAATGTCTATGCATGCTTCAGGGTCTTCAAAAGGTTGTCTTCCAACGAGGCAGTTCGCTCAATGGAAATAAAACCATTCTAGGGGCCCATGAAGAGGGAGCATGGAGGGAGGGTTCAACTATTCCAACAGCGTTGATGACTCTTGGGTTTAAACTGGTCCTCCTCCTCCTCCTCCTTCGCCCTCCGCCTCCGCCTCCTCCTCCTCCTCCCTCCTCCTCGTCCGTCCTCGCTCCTCCTTGCTCCTCGTCGGTCCTCAGCCCTTCTCACTCCTCCTTTCTCGCTCCTCCGCTCCTCCCTCCTGGCTCCTCCCTTTTCACTCTTCCTCCTCCTCCTCCTCCTCCGCCGATCGAGGGATCGAGGTCCCTGGCCGTTTTCGGATACTTTCTGCGGGACGGCCCCCTCCCAGCAGCCTCCCTGCCTGCGGTTGGCAACGTTTGCTCAGCGTGTCGCAGCGGCGGCCCCGGCGACATGCTACGCCTGGCAAACGGATACTGTGTCGCTCCGCTTCGCGGGGTGGGCGGCTGGGAAGCGCTCGGCACGCGGACGCCTGGGGACCGCGAAGCGGATAGCGTGTCGCGCCGAGGC